TTATTGTTTATGTAAATTTCTTTGTTAACAATACATTTATTATAATAAAATATAATAATAAGAGAAATACTTCAGCCTTGTAGAGTTTTTTATGAGGAACATTTTTATATAAGAATATTTATGAAAATTATTTTTTTTATCGAAAAAATTTTAGTTTGAATTGTATTACTGAATTTGACTAAGATTATACATTTACCCCACTTGCGCCAGCACAATTATACATTTACCCCAAGTGGGGTAAATGTATAGAAAATTTTTTCTTTGAGCTCTCTAAAAAAAATCTGTTGAAACTTAATATTAAGTACAAAAATATTCCAAATAATCTAACATGATAGAGAAAATCTTGGCCTATCGATTCGTGAAAAAATTTTCTTAAACAAACAAATAGATCAGTTATAAATGTGGTTTTATTAATCAAGCCAAAAATAGCTGAGATTATACATTTACCCCACTTGCACCAGCACGATTATACATTTACCCCAAGTGGGGTAATTGTATAATGCTAATGGAGGTCTCGGGAAATCCACCACCACTACGTTATACTGCAAGCTTTTTGAAAACTGATTTCATAGATAGATAGAGAAGAAATTCCTCTACATTGTTTGTGAAGAAAGTTTTTTAAAATATTGAAAAATAAAAAAGTTATAAGCATTTTACAAAACACCCTCAATTTTTCCTCTACATTTACCCCAACTGACTCTAATTTTTATGATTTCAGAAAGCTTGTCAACAACGAGCTCACAAACGATTAGAAGAGAAAGCACAGTTATAATTAGCTTCATTCAATTACCAATTATTTAAAAATAATTCTACTATTTTAGACTGAACAATGAAGATTTTATTCGAAAGCATATCAAATGTATATATTGTTCAGCAGAAATATCTCCATATATGATTGATTTTCATGAAGTTGAAGCATTATTATTTTTTTCTACATTTTATTAATTTATCATATTTCTAGAAAGTTTGTTCAAAACATCCACAAAATATGACATTTGCGTCAAATAACAAGTAAGTCTAAAGAGAAATTGAATACTAATCACGAAACATCAAAAATTATTATTAGAGAGTTTTTTTTTTAACAGAAGTCTTTTAACATATCATCATCGAACATCAAATTATTCAGATAATTTCTGTCGATAAGTTCAATTAAGTCCTCTTACAAATAATTAGTAAGTCGAATTCGTTAGGATCTATCCATTGACTATCAAGACCCATATGAAGATTAGGAATATTAGAACTATACGACAGCTTTTTCTAGTTATGTTATGATGCTTTAAACATGACTTTTTTTTATTAAATGTATGATATCAATAGTATATTACAGGATATAGTATAAAACATGAAGAAACCATTTGATTGATTGATTGATTAGATTGGAGAAAAAATCGATGAGTCTGCCAAAAACCTGCATGCGTATTTGCCTATCTAATTTCTCAATATAGCCACATACTTCATACTAAAGCAAAACACCGATATAGACCGTATTATCAACAATAATCATAAAAAATAAGAATAAGCAAGGCTCACTGTAACACTGTTTTCGTAACATGTTTTATAGATAGCTGTTCATCCATGAATTTCCATTTCTAGACCTTAAGAAATATAGAGAGAATTTTGCATATTATTAAATGAATTATATAAAGTATTTTTGTGAGAAGTTTTCAAGCTTTTAGACTGTATTAATGAGGTTATAGATGCACTCAATGAACTTCCTTGATCAAAGTTATAAAAGTAGTGCTCCAAAGCGGTAAGAAAATTTATCGTCTGTACTTTTTATCAATGACTATTTCAGATTTTTCCCAAGAATACACAGCAGTAAAAACTAGAATATTTAATATTCCTTTTGAAAAAGGAAAACTCGACTTTTTCACTTGATAATAATAATTATGTACTATCATATACAATGGTTGAGAGTTTGAGCAATCGTTTTTCCATTAGTTCCTCGAGTAAGGAGACATTCGACAGTGACTATCTATGCTCAAGTACTTCCCATCAACATGTCGTGCTTGACTATTTTACTATACTTTCCAATTTGTGAGATAGTAAGAATGTTATGTGGAATTGAGAATGAATTCTTGAAGAGTCACAAATGAAGCACAGAACTTTTCAACTTATGTAAAATGTGAGAATGGCTTATTGCTAAGTATTTCTAAAGTTTTGTTTGAAAACTATAGGAAATTTGTTGAAGATCTATATTCACTCTTACTTAAGTTGATCGCAATCAGATGCTACCTGCTAAACTGTATGTTAGATAGGAGTTTTTTTTTTATCCGAAAACGTATAGTCACTTCTACGATTTGTATCACTGTAAGATTTTACTTAATCGCCAAGATACAAATACTAACCAGCGAAGTATTTATTCCAGTATCACAACTTATCATACAACGGTAGTGAAATCTCCAACAGAACCAAGTGATAAGGATACTAATCAGAAGATATTTGTGTCGACGCTTACAGTTCCAATTGGCACTTCAGCAACAAGTAAGAACATGTCATCAATGTTTATTCAGTTGAATATCATCGATTCTTTTGACGTGATGGTAAAATGCCCGTTTTGTCGATTTGAATTTCTACAGTCGTTTAGCAAGACTCACAAGGTAGAAAATATAGATATTCTAAATCAATTAAACAAGATCTTTTTTTTTCGATCAATTAGGATGGTTGTTGCTTAAACCCAATTAACTCTATGAAACTTCAATCAACTGTTAATACCAATCAATATTTAAGTATTCATATGTTCTATAATTTCTTAAATAAAGTTTTTCTTTCAGGTCAATCTGTAATGAGTAAGCAACCTGCAATCAGCAATTACACCGAAATTTCTTGCCTGTATTGCTTTAAAAGGATGACTTTGGATGTTGTCTCGCTTCATATGGTTAGTTCCATTTAATTTTTTTTGCTTAATCTTATGATTTCTCTAACAGAGATACTGCCCTGCAAAATGACGACTACAATTCAGCGAAAGATTTTAGCGCTGAGCTTCAACTACAATAAACTTGATACTTCAAAACGTACAGTTTCGAGTGTACATATTTTTTTCCATAATAAATAACTTCATTTATCAATCAAATGCAAATTCATAAAAATTTATAACAAAATGTGTGGGTGGATGCGGTTGTTCTTCTTTTCATCTCGCACATTCGCACCAATCCTCGGAGGGAGATTGATTTTTTCCCAATCTATACTTTAAATTTTTCTCGCTTAAAGAATATGATAAATAATAATTGACCACAACAAATTCGTGACTAAAGAACAAACGAACATTACAAAGAGCGCTGTTGTAGAATCTTTTTCAGACATATTATAGCAGAACAGATTTATTAGAATATATCTTCACTGAGCAATGTCAATCTTTTGTTTAGAGATCTGAGAGAATTTGAGAGCGCTATCCTGCTCCTACAATTATATTCGGAGCGATTATCTGTGGTAAGGCGTGAACTAGGTTTTGAATGTCAATTACCGAAAAAGTATTACAAGAAGGCAGAACAATCTTTTATATAAATTAGAATAGATTCCCATGATGCTTTCAAAATATTTTGCCTAAATGAATACATACATGAATTTAGACTTAAAAATGATTTTCGTTTAATTTTTAGCGAATATGTCATGATGGATGATGAAGATATATATAATTAACATATGAAAAGACAACTGAATATAATGATACATAACAGAAAAATTCTAGTTAAAAGATGACTTATATTTGAAAAATCGTTCGTATTTTCACACCTTTTAAAGAATACTTAGAATTTAAAGATTTTAAATAAAATTGATTACCTTGACAATCTATTAAAATTTCAAGTTAAGCAATTTTTTATGCATATCTGTCATTAATTAAATTTTAGATTTGTTTTACGAATAATGTCTAAAATGAAATACAAGGAATTCGTCATATACACTTAGTAGAAATAATTCATAAATTTTTTAACAATAGATTCTTCTTCTCGTAATATTCACAATAATATGAAAAACATTTCCATCTAAAAGAGAGAGGGTGTGGGTGTGGTGTGGGTGGTGTGTGGGTGTGGGTGTGGGTGCAGGTGTGGGTGAATGTGGGTGTGGGTGGGTGTGCGTGTGTGGGTGTGGATGCGGGTGTGGGTGTTGATGAAACGATGACAGTCATACCGACACCCACACCCTCATGTGTACTGATCTTTTAAAAGAGTAGCAAACAAAAATATTGAGCTGCTCAGATTTAACAATATCCATGTATTTTGTTTAGACGATTCTCTCTTTGGACATATTTCTAAACAACAAAGTATGGATCTCATTCTTATCATTAATGATAACAATATTCGAATAACAATAGAAGAGTATACTAAGAATCTTTATGCAGTTATTTTAGCTTTCTTTAAAAACTTCAAGCATTTGACCATTGTTGTATCATCCAGTGACAATTATTCATGTTTGCTGTTGTATGATTTACCACCAAAAACTTTTGCTTCTTTGACACTTACTAAATGATGCATCAATGTAAATGATTTTAATGATGTTCGTACTTTAGTTGATGGTCGTCTCAAACAATTAACTACATATATAGTTGAAGTTAACGTTCTCAGGGATTGGATATCAAAATCGCACAACAGAGTGAGTTTGTGCTCCGTCTTATTATAGTTTTCTAATCCGTGTTTAATATCGGAGACACAATAAAGTTTAATTAGAAGCGTAATAGACAATAAAATTTCTGCATTAGTGAATATGATGTTTTGATTTTGATTATCAGAAAATAAATAGAATAGATTGTTATAGTTGTTTTGACATTATTCGCGATTATTTCATAATTGATCAATCTTTGTGGTTATTAAATGAGCCGATAGAAAATATTTTGTTTTATATCTTTCCTAATAAATATTTTGGACTTATTCACCTATGTTAAAATAAATTAAACCTGTAGGTGATTCCAAAATAAACTTTAATCAACTGAATTTTCTTTTAAGCTTCATTGACCTATACAGGGTGGTCCATAAATAACTGTGCGATAAGAAATTCGAATATCTCCATTACGGCTCGAGCAAACGTGCTGATTTTTTTACCAGTGATAGAGGCATGTACCAAGTTTATATCCATAAAGACATGTCCAAGGAGACCCTTTGTTAAGTATCACTATTGCCCTCAACAAGNAGTGAAACCTTCTTTTGAAATGGTGTAAATAAAACATTATTACTGAATATGAAAACGACTATGTAGTTTTTGGAAAATCATCAATTCTTATAATAGGTACACACAGTTATAAGCCCTGCCGGGCGCCCTGCCCTGCCCTAAGTGCAGGGCAGGGCAAAGAGTTTTTTTTATGAATCATCTGCAGGGCAGGGCAGGGCCGGGCTCTGCAGGGCACAGGGCAGGGCAGGGCGTCACAAAAGTGCCCTGTGACGGTCTCTGCTCCAGATCATCGATTGGACCATTTTAAGCATCTTTTTTAAACTGGTCGATATGATAGAAATTTTCAAAAACAATACCGGCGGTTTACCGCGGTTTTACCGATCAAGTTACCGGCTCTCATACAAAGGCTAATGCGGGAAACCGCGGTTTACCGCTAAAATTGATCCGGTATTCACAACACGGGATATATGTAGTCGATTTGTTGTTAATGTCTCCAGTTCGTTTTGAAGACGGTTTCCAAATCCTTTAATGTTTGTTGTCCCTGAAACAAAAAAATAAAATCAATAAGAAGAATTCAGGTAGCAGCACTTACCACCAGCGAAGATAATATTATTGCATAACTCTTGTTGAATGCTTATATCCCATTTGACAATCGAATCGGCCAATATTTGATGAATACCTACGATATTTAAATAGAAAATCAGAATAGAAAAAAGCGTAATACTCACCTATTTTTCGTCCAATATCTTTCGGATCAAATAAGATCTCAGAACATTTGTCTGGTTCGCCTTTTATGAAATAAGATGTAAAATTAGGACAACTATGTCTTGTTTCATCCGATTTTAATTCAGCATCTTCTGTTTTTCGAATTTCGGAATCAATTAAACATAAACTTTCTTTCATTACACGAACATTTTCACGTTCAATTTTAGATTCAAATGAATAACGACGTCCATTAAGTAATTTAATAAAATGATCAGTTAAATCTTTACCAGCAAAATCTAGATGTCCAATTGCATGAGTCATTGCACATCCTACGGATAAAAAAAGATTGAATGAGTATAAAAGCGAATGAAATCAATTAACATCGAACTACTGGTACCGTATAGGTTACTTCATGTCCACAAATCAATACGATACCAGTATCAACATTCATGGTTTCCATAACTAATGCTGCTTGGTTGCGTAAGCATATACCTAAGCCAATAAAAATTGTTTTTCATTCTAATTCTTTTTTTCGGCCAATCTTACTTGGCACATCAAATTTGTCGAAAAAAACTTCAACCATTTTCTCCCTTTTTGGTTTTGGATTTTTCATAGGTTCACATACAATAACTGGATGTTTGTTATGTTCAATTTTCAATTGATCGTACAATATGAATCCCAAATTTTTTTCATCTCATCAAAATTTTCAATAATACCATGTTTAATAGGATGATGATTTTCCAACACGACAAAATACAGATGAATTCTACAATTTTTTTAAAGGTAAACTTGCTTGGATTATTGAGAACCGTATCTCCAACATAACTTTTTTTAAAGGTTCGGTCATGTTCCGAACTTTTTCCTCGCCCGAATTCTGTTAAAACTATAATAGAATCTAAGCGATATTCTTTCTGTAATCTCTATCAAGGTTTTGAGTAAGATCAAGAGTGAATCCTAGTACGGTCCATCATGTTAAAATAATAAAGAAATCTGAGTGGGAACTTGAAAAGATCCTGAGAAGAATATTTTTTTCACAATGAAATATCCTGCAAACCAGTATTATTAAAATTGGAAACGGAATCCTGAATAAAATATGACATGAATCTTCAGATTCAGGAGCCCAAAATGTTCTTTCACACTTTCTCAAGGAAAAACAGGATTAAGACTAAAGTAGAGGGTTGCTCTAAGTTCTGACATCCTTAGTTTGACAGAGAAAAGCGGATTCTAGAGTCCTAAGAGATTTTAGAATATATTTCTAGAAGTGTGCCAAAAGCGGTCACAGATTACCGGCATTGGCTATAATTCAACACAATCCATTACAATTTATCAGAGATAACTAGAATGCAATAGAAATCATCATGTATTACAATAATATCAAACCAATCGAGGAAGCGTAAATCTTGATGGATCCAAAAAATGCGCAGAATCCATGATGATATGCCAAAATTTACCAAGACATAATCATCTCGATATCCTGGATCTTTTTTTCTCTTTACTTAGTTACAAATTCTGAAGTCACTATTCCATTTTCTCACTTAATTTATTTGGATCTTAAAGAATTCTCATATCCATTAAGATCAACTTTTCCATCCTCGTTTCTGTACGCTTGAAATAATTTATTCTACAATTCATCAGGTTCCGTCAGGATCCACTAGGATCCATTAGGATCCATCAGGATCCACCAGGATCCAATAGGATCCACCAGGATCCAATAGGATCCACCAGGATCCAATAGGATCCACCAGGATCCACCAGGATCCAGTAGGATCCACCAGGATCCAGTAGGATCCACCAGGATCCACCAGGATCCACCAGGATCCAGTAGGATCCACAGGATCCACCAGGATCCGAGGATCCAGGATCCGCTTTTTTCCCCTTGGTATTAATACAAAGCTGTTTATAGTTTATATCCGTAAAAAAATGATGAAAAATATTGTCTTGAAATATTACTGTAGATATGTATGTGGATCCGTGATTTTAGCAACTTTCCAAGAACAATATTGTGCCGATATTGATGGCACGCTTCGATGATTCTCCTTCCTCCTCTTTCTGTTCTCTTTCCATTGTTCTAATATATATCTCTCCTGTCTCTTTCCTATCTCTCTCCTATATATATGTGTGCTATGTATGAAGTCGTTACACTCTGGATATGTGAAGAAGCGAATAAACATCATTGCCAAGAGTGGCGGTAAGCTACTCCACCTCTATTCAGTTTGTCATTACGTATCAACCCAGTCAGGGTTTTATTGATCGTTACAAATATATTCAAGCTTTGTAATGAATATCTCGTTTTTAGGACGAAATTATGTATAAACAAGAGGTTTGCTACGAAGCCTGCATATGTTTATCTTTCTCATTCAAAATGAATAGCATGCTTTATCTCAACTGACTAATCTAGACAATTGTAGTTTAATCATAAATTTCAACCACTGGTATATATTTTAGTAACGTGTATAACCTGAAAGATTTAGTCAAAAGCAATGGAATTTATTATTTCATGAACTATTTATAAAATTTTGCTTGTTTTTATAACAATTCAAAAATTGATTTTATGCTCATATTAAATATAACACTTCAAAATAGTGTTGTTCATCGTTTCTCTTACAAATATAAACTATAAGGAATCCTTTCATGAGAATAAAAAATCAATCTGTTCAATCAAACTTTGATGGAGAGATATAAAAACTTTTCTTTACAAGAAGCCAACGTTTTAGCGATTCTGTATATAAACAATCATTTTTTGTTAATAGCTAGTGGTTCGATCGTTAGTGTATACGAATTCGCCTTTTGTGGTTCTTTTTTTTTCTGTATTCGAGAATCAACAACGGATAAAGCACACATACATATGCTCACACATGACTATGAGTACGTCAGAAAGAACAAAAAAAGACGACAAAAAAGATAGACAAGTTATTTGAAGAACGGTAACGAGTGACACTAGCGTCATTACCTAGTCAATGCATTGCAAAAACAACATATAAATGTGATATTGTCACTTGTATACAGTGGTGGACATAAATTTAGGACACTTTTGTTTTTTGCTATAGCTCAGCCGTATCTATAGCTAGAGGCATGATTCTTTGACAGTTAGAAAGACCTTGTTAAGGACTATGTAACCTGAGAAAATAGTCAAAATCAGATATGTTTTGGATGAGTCATCGTGAAAACAATTTGATCCCAGCCGACATAAATTTAGGACACTTCTGGTATTTTGCATTTTCTGACCTAGCGATTTTACTGAAAAAAGTTAAAACATATACCATTCGATGAAGAATTTTGTGCTCTACATTTTGAAAAACAAATTTTTAATTCATCATTAAACCATAGTTTTATAACTTAGTGTATGTTAGTCCCAGTAAATAATGGTATTTCAAAATGAGGAATGCAAATAATCTCAACATCAACTAGTGCTTCGAAAAGAGCGTCAAGAACTGAACAAAATCATGTCATTTTCGTATAATAAACCTGTGTTTGAAAGTGAATTTTGAAGAATTCTCCCTTTTTTGATGACTCATCGGTTCTCGAATTTAAATGTTTTTCTATCAAAAACCAAGGTTAAGATCTTTGATTTATATCAGTTTTGTAGAGAATTAAATTCTGTACAAGATCAGATCTTTCGAACTTTCCTACAGCGCCTACAAAATCCGTGTGTTAAAAATACTTTTATTTCACAAATATAAGTCTTGATTATAGATACCAGCAAAGGGCGTCATCTATTGGCTCCGTCATACTTTGCTTATTACTGTTGCAATTAGGGTCAAGAACCTAGATGAGAGTTTCCTGTGAAAATGAGACGTCTTCCAGCTTTTTAAGTTTGATGGTTGCAAAGCTGTAAGGAGAATACGATGAAGGCCATAGATGACGCCTTTTGCTGGTATCTATAATCAAGACTTATATTTGTGAAATAAAAGTAATTTTAACACACGGCTTTTGTAGGCGTTGTAGGAAAGTTCGAAAGATCTGATCTTGTACAGAATTTTATTCTCTACAAAACTTATTTAAATCAAAAATTTTAACTTTGATTTTTGATAGAAAAAAATTTTAATTCGAGAACCGATGAGTCATCAAAAAGGGAGAATTCTTCAAAATTCACTCTCAAACACAGGTTTATTATACGAAAATGACATGATTTTGTTCAGTTCTTGACGCTCTTTTCGAAGCACTAGTTGGTGTTGAGATTATTTGCATTCCTCATTTTGAAATACCATTATTTACTGGGACTAACATACACTAAATTATAAAACTATGGTTTAATGATGGATTAAAAATTTGTTTTTCAAAATATAGAGCACAAAATTCTTCATCGAATGGTATATGTTTTAACTTTTTTCAGTAAAATCGCTAGGTCAGAAAATGCAAAATACCAGAAGTGTCCTAAATTTATGTCGACTGGGATCAAATTGTTTTCGCGATGGCTCATCCAAAACATATCTGATTTTGACTATTTTCTCAGGTTGCATAGTCCTTAACAAGGTCTTTCTAACTGTCAAAGAATCAGGTCTCTAGCTATAGATACGGCTGAGCTATAGCAAAAAACAAAAGTGTCCTAAATTTATGTTCACCACTTTATATGAAGATGCATCTTTCATACTCGAGCATAATGGTTAGATCCTAGAGAGATGAAACCAACTTTCATATTGCACTTGTCTAACAGTGTTTTATTCTTTGTTGTTGTTTAAAACTTCTCCATACCTGCGATTTCTTTTTTCTTTATACATGACAATGAAGAATTGCGTATTTTGTGAAACACGACATAAAAATAATATGGAAGTATAAGATAGAAGCTTGGATTTTCTGCCGTAGACATTACTGACATTGTTGATATTATATCAAAGACAGTATATCAGTAACTTCTCGTTATAATATATGAATTACTTTCTTATTGTATTTCTCAAGAATTCAGTAAGAGGATGGTAAACAAATGAGGCTCTAAATATATGAACTCGAAAGTTCTCCATGTAATCAGCAGCATCAGTTACATCATATTTCACATTTTAATCCATTAAGGATTGTACTAACAGCTTTTTTCTTTTGGTCGATTTTTTTGATTTTATTGATCATGAATCAATGTGTTTCCATATTTGAAATATTTCGTGTTTCCTTTTATCTTTTTCTTCAACAGTCGACAAGTTGCATGAATTAAAACTCAATTAGAAATATATCTTAAAGTAAATATTTAAGAAAATTTATAACAAGAAAATATTATTTATTTCATTTTTCATTAGTCATTTGTTCACCAATAGAAGGAATCCCATTTGCATTTATATAATCTAATGTCTTGAATAAATATCAGGATTAAGAGTAATGTTATTTATTAATGAAAAACAACAGATTTTTTTCCTATATAATATTTGTCATATGATGAATATGACAAGCGCGGTTGATTCTTCATTGAGTTATTTGCCATATACATTCGAATTGAAACTTTAACTAATATCTGATAACTATTGCGAGTCATTATATATATATACATCGTTGAAGTGCTGAGATAAAACATGACCATACACCTCACTTAAACAACAAATATTTTAATCATGTAATTCTTTTTTGAAAATAAATCTACAATTTCTATTGAATACAAGTTATAACTATATTTTTATTCAAAACTTCATTGAAATCATTTCATAAGACAAATAACAGTTACAAATTATTAGATTTATGTTTTTTTGAAATAAATATTGATAAAAATTACTACTAAATACTCAAATAAGGATTCAGAACCACTGACATTTTATTACAAAATTACGTAGTTTATAAATAGGCTTCCTATGCCCACTTTCTCACGTGACATGAATCTAAAATTTATCTTTCTTGCTAAATATTATAAGTATCTGTTAATAGTCATCATGATATTTACCTGTTCATATAGAACGTTTATTTAAACAATTAAAAAATCGACAAACGTCTTTCGGTTTTCTGTCTTATTTACTTGAAACGTTCATATAAATATATATACAGACTCACAAGTCCATTTTTTGATTAAAAAAAATTGAATATAAATGTATGTACAATCAAAGAAGGTGTTCAAGTCTTTAAATCTATAATTAACAAGTCTGCAAGAGTACTTCTACATAACCAGAACCATAATTGGCAACAACGATATCCAGCAAAGTATCATTGTTAAAATCTGCAATAGCAACGGATGCTGGGCGAGATCCATAATCAAGAGAATATGACTTTGGACTTAAAAAGCTTCCATTGCCTAATCCGTAAAAAACAAGTACATTATTGGTACCACGATTAGTAACGACGATATCCATTTGATTGTCTTTATTCAAGTCCACTATAGCGATAGCAGATGGTTCAGAGCTTTGTTCCGTTGAATAACTTTGCAAAATTGTAAAATTTCCATTTCCATTTCCAAGAAAAATTAAAATATTGCTTGTGTTAGAATTAGCTACAACAATGTCAACTTGTTTATCATCATTGAAATACCCAACAGCAATGAATTTAGGAGCTGAATAAAGACCAGTAGAATAATTTACTAGTTTTGAAAAATTTCCATTTCCATATCCAAGAAGAATACTAATATTATTCCCCCTTGAATTCGCAACAG